TTCTTTGCTCAAAAAAATTTTTTTCATCCAAAGTTTAATTTAAAAAAAATCACAGTGAACTTATAATTTGAAAAATTCTAAAGAAAGGAAAGTGTTTTGCTTTTTCTCAAGCAACGGCTGTTCCTACCTTGCCCAAAAACAATACAGCTCTTCTAGAGAGCAGCACGGATCAAATGTAAAAAACTAGAAGTCTCTACAATTTCTCGTTTTTGAGATTTCTTGCTGATTAACTTGCTTGTTTGCTTGCTTACAGAAAGCATATTTTGCGATTTTCTCAGCAATGCCGCAACCAATTTGAAATCTGTTTTTTGCAAAAGATGTGAAATTTAAGGCACAAACTTTTCATCTCTGAACATTTTAAGCTATCTTGCTCCATATCCTCACAAAATTTAAAAAACTGATTTTTCAATCTGAACAAAACCAATAGATTCACACATGAAAACGGTGTGAATATAATAAGATATTGAAGCAGAATAAATATGTAATATAATTTTATTTGTATATTGAGGAGTAAATTTGTTCCATTTGTTTCTATTATTTCTACTAGTTATGAAACTATCATGTCAGAAATATAGTCATGATTTAACCAGAAATGAGAATAATTTATGATTATGAATTTGGTGATTAATTCCTAAGTAAATTGTGTGTGAATTTAAGAGGCGTAGTTGAAGGGGGTCTTTGAGAAACTCTAACCCCCTTGACAAAAGTTTTAAGATGCAACTTAATTGAAAAAGTAAAGAATTATAATAAAGTTAAAACTATATTACTAAAAACTTGAGCTTTTTGAAAATTTCTGACTACGCTTATGTTGTAAAGAATGTTCTCATTGTTTTTCTCTAAAACGCGGAATATGATTCTTGAATCACAAATTTAAAATCTTTTTTAAATAGTTCTTGGGAGCTTTTAAAATAAAAATTGATATTATTAGATAAGATTGAAAATTAATCCTTTAAATAGATTAAAAGATTAACTAATTTACTACAAATGGAATCAAAAAACTTGGGGAATCAAAAAAAGCAGGCAAGTCTTTTAAATTAATTCCTAATGCATTCAAAAATTAGTCATTGTAAATAGCACAAATTACCTAAAATACTTCTCGATTCTATTGCAGCAAGCTGATGCTTCATCATCCAAAAAGGATATAGCATTACTTTGTGTAAATGCTAACAAGAATACAAATTCCAAAGCTCATAATTCAAAACTGAAGAATGCAATGAATCATTCAAGATCTAAGTCTGACGGTTCATCAATTTCAACAAATTCAAATTCAAGCAAAAAAAATGGCGATAGCCTCAACAAAACACAAAACACATAGATGACATCTGGGTAGAGGAAGAAAAGATGTATTCTAAAAATGAATTAATTGAAAACTTTATAATTGAAAAAGAGAAGAGGGGGTTTAGTGATATTCTTGGACATTTATTTTTTTTCTCATTTGCATTATCTTAAATCAGATAGTTTAGGAAGTTTGAATAAACGAACCATTTGTTTAAAAAAAACCTCTTTTATTTTCTTTATTTTTCGGTAGTAGCAACAAGTTATCTGCTTTTCATAGATTTAGTTTTAGATGCCTGTATGCATAAAGTAAAATCGACAATATCTTGTAAAAATCTTTAAAAGTTAAATTAAAGCAGTAAAAACTACTATTGGATCTTCTAGTTTACCGTTAAATATATAATTCCTTAATATTACTTTAAATGCTAACATTCTGAGGTTGCCAAATGTCTGAAGTATCTTAACCCTGATTAACTTGATCAATTTGACAAATAGAGAGTGCGAAAATGAGGACAATCGCAATTCAAAGAGATCTAATGAAGTAATTAATTTAGGGTAAAAGAATAAAAATATTAGTGACTGCTTTCTCATCGACGTTCCGGAATTTCGTTTCTACTGTCAAATTAATTATTATATGAAATATTTAATTAAGGCAAAGATAGAAACTCAAAATATTTATTAACAAACAAACAAATGAATGACAATGAGCTGCATTTATTTAAAATAAGACACGTTAAGTTATTGATGTCAGCACAAAAACAGAGACATGACTAGGAAGCAACCCAAAAGTTATGAAATTTTTAAGTAAGCATTTTCTCAAGGTATATTTGCAGCTTCATTACATTTCGAGAGCACAGTCTCTTTTCGGATCTCATCAAGTTCACATCTACAGAAGGAATTGATAAAATGTATCTTAGGTAAGCAGACAAGTGTTTTTTTATTTACTCACATTTTAATCATCATTATTTATTTAAAGAATTCTTTCAGTCTTAATCATCCTTACGTGTTTTCGCATCAGCTCTTCTAATGCTGCTGTTAACATAACATGTGAATTTGGTTATGTTGAGGATAAATATACAGTAAAAATCTCAAATCAGACCTACAAGTCAACTGAAAAAGGTCTTAAAATTTATGGCCGACACATAAATCGTATGAAGAATCCTGACGTTAAAGTCCTCGATGCATCTTATAGATACAATAAGTTGGACATTGTTCCATCGACTCTTCTTCAAATTTTTGTTAATTTAGCTGAACTAAGAATGGAAAATTGTGGACTGAAAAGATTAACAGTCACTTCATTCAAGTATTGTGGAAAGATAAAAATTATGAAATTTGGAGTCGATGAAATTGATATTGAAGCAGGTGTTTTTAAGATGTGTGAAAGTCTGGAAGTTTTGGAATTTAATGGCAATAATATAAAGAGCATTAACTCATATGCTTTCAAGGGACTTGATAAACTTCATACTCTTAAAATGGATAAATGCAATTTGCGTACAATTGAACCAGAACTTCTTCTACCTTTATTTTATCTTGATCATATCCATATAACTGGGAATAAAATTGAGGAATTACCAAATGGATTATTCGATGAATTAGAATACTTAAAAACGATGAATTTAAGTAACAATGAATTGACGTCATTTTCAAGTTCATTCCTTAAACGCAAGAATCATTTAGAGATTATTGATTTGAGTGAGAATAATATCGAGACATTGGATAGAATGTTTCTTGAAAACTGGCCAAATAATGCAGCTTTAAATATAGAATCGAATATTTGTATTGATAAGAAATTTGGACATCTTGGAACCAATGATTTGCCAATGATCAAAGTCGTAGAATTTTTCATGAATTGCTTTGACGAAGAAAAAACAGTACAACCAATAATTCAGCCTAATTCTACAAGCACCACAGAAGAACCAAAGCCAAAATCATCAGAATCAAGTGAATCGGATAGTGATGAAAAATCCACATCTGAGTCAAAAAAGAAAGAAGATATTAAACAGAAACTTGATGAAACAGAGTCCTCATCTGAAAAAACAAAAGTTGTGTCCAAAAAGCGAGAAAGTGAGAACAATGAGCATTCAGCTGAAAAATCTAAAGCAGCTATTAAAAAGAATGAAAGTGAAGACAAAAAGGATGTAAAAAAGTCTAGTGAGAAAAAAGACAATGATTTGAATAAAAAGGATAATATTAGTAATGAAAAGGTTGTTGATAAACTTGTTGAGCCATTGACAACAATTACAACTGAACCAAAAGATGATGAAAATAAAGAAAATTCTAGGGATTCGCCTTTTGAATTCGTTAAAGAATCTACAGACAACATCAATCAAAATAGCTCAGGAATAATTCACGATAAAGAAAATCAAGAAAGTACAACAAAAGCTGTTCCTGATAAATCGGAAAGCAGTGAGAGTGATAGTGATGAGGATAGTGAAGAAAAAACAACGGAAATATCCACAACAGAATCTACAACTACAACAACCGAAGCAACAACTAAAAAACATAAAAATAAAGGCAAAAAAGGAAAAACAGTCACTGAAGTAGTTACAGAATCAACAGTGACAGTGGCACAAAACGAGACAAATCTAGAAATAGCCACAACAAGTTTTGAGACCTTCACTGAAAGTGAAACAACAGAAGGTATCGAGGAAATGATCTCAGTTACAGACAGTATCGTACAAGAAACTACCGAGAAAGTAGAAGACAAAGACCAATTACATGATTATGAGCAGGCAACATGTCGATTCTACATTGATGCTGACAAGAACTACAACTGTGAATTGGTTAATGTCACTCAGTATTTAAAGAGAATTAACACAGAACATTTTGATGGCTATACAAATGAAAACGTGAACGGGATCTTCTTTAGACAATCAAAATTATTCCAAGTTCCTAGAATTGTGTCTGTAACCTTCCCAAATCTTATTGAGCTATCGATTGAGAAGACAAATTTGAAAGTGATGGACGATGAATTTATTGAAGATTGCGGCAACATTAAGAGAATTAATTTAAGAAATAATAAAATTCGTCGAGTCGAGAGAAATTCATTGAAAGCATGTAATAACTTGGAACATATTGACTTGTCAGGAAATCCAATCGAAACCATTGAAGGAGGAATCTTTGACTGTAATCCTCAACTATCTCTTACTTTTAATGCTATGAAAATTTTGCCAGTTTCTAATTCGGAAATGCCTTAAAATGCTTGAATACTTTTGAATTCGTTGAACACGTGACACACCAAATTTGATAATTCAACGGTTTTTAAAATTCAAAACCATACAAATGTAATGTAAAAAACCATACAAATGTTTTAAAAATAAAAAATTCAAACCCATAAGGGGCCGTTCACTTATTACGTTCGCATTTTAGGGGGGGGGGGGGGGGGGGGTTGAAAAATTGTAAAATGTAACCTTTTTAATGATTTATGAATGTCCAGATCACTTTTGAAAGCTAGGCAATACATAGTTTTTGTTATAAATGTTTTAATAACGTTCAGGGGGGGGGGGGGGGTGAGTTGTAACCAGAGCTGCGAAACAGGTCACCTGTGACAGGTGAGAACCCTACAATTCCTTGATAATTTATAAGGTTCTTCTAACAAAACCATACAAATTATCAAGGAATTGAAAGGTTCTCACCTGTCACAGGTGACCTGTTTCGCAACTCTGGTTGTAACATAGTGTAACAAGGGGGGAGGGGGGGGTGAAAAAAGTCGTTTTTTGCGTAACGTAATAAGTGAACGGCCCCTAATGAATTATTATTAATTAAGCAGCCTGAAAATAGAATATCTGTAAGTTATAAATAGGTAGGTAAAAATAAGAGGAAGTGAAATAAAAGCGTGCAATTAGTTGTGCGACCCGCGAAACAACAAAAACAACTTTTTCATCACAGAAAGCACAGAGAAACAAAATATTTTGAATTTTTTAATTAAACTATGTATTTATAAAGTGAACAAAACAATGGATATTATTGGTGTAATAAACAGTATATATAGGAGCTATGGAACATTATTTTCAGACGATTTTATAGCATTTTTTAAAGAAAACACTCAAAATCATGTAAGTAAAGAAATTTCTCCAATTTAAATATCGATTTTCTTAGAAAAAGTAAGAAGTGAATTATTAATGAGATTTATCGTAAATTTACAGGTATGGATTACTATTTTGATTGTCCTTTTTACAACCACAATCCTCGTTGCATGTTACTTATGGAGAAAGAATAAAATCCGCAGTAAGTTTCATAATAAGAGAAATGACCTTGAATTTGAAATATTTTTTTCAATGCAATTTCCTTATACGCTTTACTTTATCCCTTCCCTTTACTTCAGAACAATCAATAATTGATAGACTTACAAGTTCCTTTTTGCATGATGGACAGACAAGATTTAGAAAGCGAGATAAAATGTTATTTTATGGTCGACGGATGTTGAGAAAAGTGAAGACAATTAGCACAGGAACTGGTGCTGAGAGAGGTAGAAAACGTCGAGCTGTAATGAAGTTTGCTAGGAAGATTTTACAACTTCAAAAGGACAATTTACAGCCTCAATTAAAAGTTACTGAACCACCAGCTGAATACTTTGAGGAAATCATTGAGAAAGTCGGTGAAAAAGTACCGGCTGATGCCTATTTCATGCTTCAGTCAATAAGAATTTTTGGTCAATTTGAGAAGCCAGTATTTTTAAGGATATGCAAGCACACAGAGATAATAAATTTAAAGGCTGGTGATTATTTGATTAAAATTGGCGATGCTGACGATTCAGTTTTTATTGTACAATCTGGTTCCGTTAATGTTTTTCTAAATAATGCTGACGGATCGTCTATATCATTAAAAGTAGCAAAGAAAGGCGAAACGGTAACATCATTATTAAGTTTTATAGACATACTCGTTGGAAATGATAGTACCTATAAAACTGTTACCGCAAAAGCTATTGAAGATTCTCAAATCATTCGCTTGCCAATGTTTGCGTTAAAGGAAATATTCAATGAGAATCATGATATCCTAGTACGAGTAATACAAGTTATTATGGTTCGATTACAAAGAATTACAATTAGTGCTTTATACAATTATCTCGGATTAAATATTGACTATATTCATGTATCACAAAAGAAGAAACAAGCTCAAGCAGCTAATCCCTTAACAAACATTCCAAAAGGATACCAACATAAACGACAAATGTCTGACCAATTTTCCTTAGTTATGAGTAGTGTTACTTCCGATAAAAACGATAAACCTGACATGCTAAATGACATTGAATTTCCAATATTAGTTCCAAGACGCACATCAGTTTTGCCGCAACCAACTGACATTCCCATTGATATTGAACTTATGAAAAGCTTAGCTACAGATGGTTTTCTAAAAGAACTAGGTTTAAAGGACGATGATCGAGCATTGATTGTTGATAGTATTGAAATTAAAGAGATTCAAGCTGGAGTGACTTTGACACATCAAGGACGAGAAGATGACGTCATGCTAATTTATATAATCACTGGTGGATTAAATCTTATCAATTATCAGCCAAATAAAGGAAGTAAGAAAGTCTCTGAATCTCATTCCGTAACACTTCATGCTGGAGAAGTTGTAGGAGGTTTAGCTGTGCTAACTGGAGAATCAAGCCTCTATGCTATTAAGTCTAGAGTCTCTTCACGCGTTGGTCTTATCACGAAAGAGAATGTTTATAAAATTATGCAACAAAGACCGACATGTGTATTAGACATCGCTAATTCAGTTGTTAAAGGATTAAGTCCATTGGTTCGTCAGTGTGACTTTGCATTAGATTGGATATTTTTAGAGTCAGGACGCGCAGTTTATCGTCAAGATGAAGCATCAGATAGTACTTATATAGTTCTTAATGGACGTTTAAGATCAGTTATGACTCACATGAATGGAAAAAAGGAAGTTGTTGGAGAATATGGAAAAGGAGATTTAATTGGAATCGTTGAAATGATAACGGAATCTCAAAGAAGTACAAGTGTTATGGCTGTACGGGACTCCGAACTAGCTAAATTACCAGAAGGACTGTTTAATGCAATTAAATTAAAATATCCAGTGGTTGTAACTCAACTTATTAGTCTCCTTGGACATCGTCTTTTGGGATCTATGAGAAATGCCACAATATCATCAAAACCAAACGTGCCAATTGAAGCATCTCCTTTAAAACATAAATTTGCAACAATTGCAATTCTCTCAATTACTGATGATGTTCCATTGACTGCTTTTACTTATGAACTTTATCACTCTCTATCAGCAATTTGTCCAACAGCACGTTTAACTGCTGATGTTGTTAGGAAGACTTTAGGAATGAATATTATGGAATCAGCAAACGAATATCGTCTTTTAAGTTATTTATCACAACAAGAAGACCATAATGAAGTGACTTTATATCAGTGTGAAAGTGGAACTTTAACACCTTGGACACAACGATGCTTAAGACAGGCTGATGTCATTTTAATTGTAGGCTTAGCTGAACGACCTCCATCATTGGGTAAATTGGAACGTGAAATTGAAAGATTTGCTATTAGAACAGCAAAGGAATTAGTTTTATTGCATACTGAGACGTCAACCAGTTCTAATTTAAGGCCAACAAACACAGTTCAGTGGTTGAATCAGCGAACATGGGTAAACAAGCATCATCATATTTTATGTCCGAAGCGAATGTTTACGAGAAAAAGTCAATACCGAGTAAATGACTTGTACACAAAAGTACTTAATTCTGAGCCAAATATTCATTCAGATTTCTCAAGACTTGCTCGATGGTTGACTGGAAATTCTGTAGCTTTAGTTCTTGGTGGTGGAGGTGCGAGAGGAGCTGCACATGTAGGAATGTTAAAAGCTATTCAAGAAGCATCGATTCCAATTGATATGGTTGGTGGAGTTTCGATTGGTGCTTTTATGGGAGCTTTATGGTGTGCTGAGCGAAATATCACGATTGTAACTGTAAGTTTGATTGATGATTGCATTTTTAACAGATTTATTGGATTAGAAATTCTAGCGGCTTTCAAAAATTCAAAAAATATTGTGATCCTTTTTTCAAAATTTTGAAAATCGTTATTTTTCAAAATTGAATTGATCGTTTGTAATCAATAATTGTAAATTCCTTAAACAGCAAAAAGCCAGAGAATGGTGCAAGAAAATGACTCAATATGGATTGCAAATATTAGACCTAACATATCCGATTACATCAATGTTCAGTGGACGACAATTCAACAAGACTATTCGAGATACATTCGGTGATAATGTAAAAATTGAAGACTTGTGTAAGTTTCAGTTTGATTGACGCACATCATTAATTTTAGCACATTGACGTGAATTAATACGATTAATATTTATTTCTCTAGGGATTCCATACTTTACATTGACTACTGATATCACTGATAGCTGCGCGAGAATACACACACATGGTGATTTTTTTGCTTCCATTATTTTTGTTTTTCGTTTGTTTTGTTCATTTTTTAAAAAAGAAATTCATTTACTAGCATTTTTCATTAGAAAATTTATTAAGGGTCTTGCTGACCGTTCTGAGTCTTTTAGTTTTATTCATTCTCTAACTTTTCTTTCATTGGGTGACGGATATTGTTTGTCATATTTCCTCAATTTCATTTTTCATATATTTTCTTTTGCTTATTTTTCTTTTTTCGTTTCTTTTGTTTTTTTTTTTTAAAAAAAAATAATTCTCATTAATTGATGACTTTAACAAAACTTCTTTTATGGCTTCAAAAAATTGCTATTTTATGTATCTGCCTGCATACAGGAAGTTTATGGCGATATGTTAGATCATCGATGAGCTTATCGGGATACATGCCACCATTATGCGATCCAATTGATGGCCATCATTTACTGGATGGGGGCTATGTTAACAATTTACCTGGTAAGACGTTTAACTTGGATTTTAATTTGCTTCCTTATAAGTTTTTAATCAGCATCCGGAACATTATTATTGACGGAATTTACTCATCCTTCTGCATATTCTTTTTGGTTTAGTTCTTTTTTTTATGAATGCACATAAAACACTATTTTTTATTATTTTACTATGCACCCTTATTTTTAGAATTACGGAAGGTTTGGTCCTGTAGAATATGTAGCATATTGGAAATCTAGCCACCATAAAAAATAAAAAAAAAATGGTTTTTAAAATACTCAGAACTGGAAAGTCAAGATCCTTAAAATCACATTTATCTCTCAAATTAGCTCACATTTTTATCAAATATCCAATATTTTTTTTTGTATTGCTAACTTTTTCTTTAGGCGTTTTATGGCGTTTGGTACGCTCTAGTATGACAATTGCAGGAGTTTTTCCCCCAATGTGTGTAGACGGTCACCATCTTATCGACGGATGCTATACGAATAATGTTCCGGGTCCAAATTTTGTTCCATAATTTATTATTAAGAGTTGTTATTTGTTGGCACTGCTATTATATAAATCAGTAAACTAATCATTATTTATTGGTTTTTATCATTTTGAAGTTTAACGATTTTAAATTTAAATTCAACGGTTTTTATTTGTTTCAAAATTTAAACTGAAATTAACTTCAAAATTGAATTACTAAACTTTTCGTTCAGTAACTCAGGAATTCTGTCAAAAAAAAAATAATCAGTCAGCCAAAGATGCTTTTTTAAAATCTATCAAAATTATACTAAGTTCTCATATTTCAAATTTCTTTCACAGCTGACGTAATGCGTAGTCAAGGAGCTAACATAATTATTGCAATTGATGTTGGATCTCAAGATGATACTGATTTGACAGATTATGGAGATGATTTAAGTGGCTGGTGGGTCTTGTACAAAAGATATAATCCATTTACGTCACCAATAAAAGTCATGACATTGCCTGATATTCAGTCGAGACTTGCTTATGTCTCGTGTGTACGGCAATTAGAACAAGTAAAAAGCAGTGACTATTGTGAATATTTAAGACCACCAATTGATAAATATAAGACACTGGCATTTGGATCATTTGATGAAATACGAGAAGTTGGATTTAATTATGGAAAAAATTATTTTGAGCAGCTAGCAAAAAGTGGTGGACTTAATAGATTTAATCGATGGACACAACAAAAGTCTTCGGACGAGAGTCGAGAATCAAGTCCATCAAATAGTCAATCAAACTACACATTTGTTGATTTAGCACAAATTGTATGTCGGGTACCAGAAATATGTCAAGAAAGACATGATGATTTGTCAAGCGAGGATGATTATTTCGTTGGATATGCTTCAGAACCATCAACACTTCGCTCAAGTGCTAAGGTACGACAATTAAGGGCTGTTGGTGGTTCACTTTCGCTATCTGAGAACGAATATGAAAGTGACATTGATTCGTCTGATGCTGAACCGAATATTAGTAGTAAAAAATCTTTAAATCTTGCATCGAGTGAAGCTTAAATTATTCAAATGAAATTATAGCTTTTTTAATGAAATTCATACCAAAAACTACATAAAAGGATAAATTAGTAAAAATAAAAGTTTTTATTTAACATAAAAATCGAATTGTTGTGCATTTAATAGTGATGCTAAGCCACAAAATCAGATTAGTACATAATTGTTCATATTGGTGCTTTTAAAAAGCTTTGCATTAATTTTGATTAATATAAAACGGGAATGCCGATAATTTAAATTTTTTGTGCTGCAGTAACTGGAGCCTTCACATTAAGGAGATCACATAAATGATTTCTAATAGGTCGTACTTCATTCAATGGCTGAGACCAATCTGTATCCATCAAAGTGTTTAAAATTTCCTCTAAATTCTCTTCAGGAACGTCTGTTGTATCTCCATATAACAGCATTGCTTCATAAAGTTTTAAAGCTGCTGATTTGCGGATGTGAACATGAGTTAATCCCAAGAAAACCCCCATTTTAGTAAAGATTTTTGGACAAAGACGACGAACCTAAAATATAAAGTGAAAAATTTAACGGTTACCAAAAATTTAAAATTGAATGGTTTTCAAAATTTTGAAACTCAAAAAAAACTAATTTAACGGTTTTAAAACATCTATCTGTATCTTACCTGAATTAATTGGCACATGACGTTAATGCTGGAGACAATCTTATAAAGTTTCTTATGTCCCTTAATTTCAAGATTAACAAGACGAAAGACTTCATCAGGAAATTGAGAATTTTCATCGTCCAAAATGGCTAATAGACTTCCAGAGCTTAAAATTGTATCAAGGAAGTTCAGCATAGGATATGTGATGCGTTCATTTAATAAATTATCCTGGAAAATCTTTAATGTCAAGTCACACATTACTGTGGTTTCATTTGGATGTGAATTAAGGAAATCAAGGAATGAAGATGATGAATGTTTTGTTAAAGACTCAGTCAATTGTCCAATACTTGCAACTAATCCAGTTATAATCTTCTCAGAATAATCATGAAGTTTTAGCATGTTACAGAATAATGGGAAAGTGTGATCAGCAAACAGCCATAAAATTTTACTTCCATCTTTTGGAAAGATTGTCTTCAAAACTTCGTGATCCTTAATATTTGGTATTTTTGGCTCATGATACAATAAGCTATGGAATAATTTTCCAGCAATTGCACGAGTTCTATCAATTTTTTCGACACTTTGCTGTGCTAATCCACTCATAATGTTATGAACAATATCAGCCATTAATCGTTCTGGTGGACTACTAATAGTCAGTTGATATAAGACATTCATAGATGATTCTCGTACCCAAGCACCAATATCTCCACGATTATCAATGGTATATTCTTCTAGAGCTTTTAAAAGACATTCAAAAATGTCCTTTAATTCTTCATCAGTAAGATCCTCAAAATTTATTGTCATTGTGACATTTCCTAAAGCCTTAACGCTGTCTCTACGTGCTTCGGACCAATTCAATATTATTGGATTAAGCCCAGCTTGTTTAACTTGAGATTCATTTGGAACTAAAGACAGTTCACTTAATTTCTTAATAACTTCCATTTTTGACGGTAACAGCATAAATTTTGGAAATGCACCAATTGCTAAGACATATCCACTCCTGACATGCTCTTCAAGATCATTTTCTGATCCGTTCAAATAATTATTGACAATTAATGCGTTACTGTCTTTTCCTTCATAATATGCTGGACATAAACTAGTTAATGCAGACACAGCAAGTTCTCGAATTCTTGTCGTCTTACTAGTGATGCTGGAATCAATAAGCAACTGCCATGATTCGATACATTCATTAGTTATTTCCAATTTCGATTCACTACAATTTTTAATAAAATCTAGCGCTGCCAACTTCATTAATTCTCCACTCATGCCTCGAAATTGTTCTCTGGTTTGGAACTTGATGATTAAATCACTCAACCTTCCCATAATCTCATTAGATATTAATGAAAGCTTATTTAAGTTCTTCAAAGCTAGTATAACTTCTCCAAAAGCTAAAACACATCCATGTCTAACGTTTATATCAATTGATTCTGTCTTTTGGAATAGCTGATTAAGAACATGTGTTGCCATATAATCAGCATCATGATGTGCTAATTTATTTAATGTTTTAGCTGTTAATTCTCTTATTGATGTATCCCAATGTGCAGTTTTAATCTCAACTAAATGATCGATTAATGATCTTGTGTATTCACTAAACTGTGCAATAAAGTCACTAATGACTAAATAAGAGTTAATTCTTAATCCAACAGTATAAAAATCAGCAGTTGTTAGAATGTCAATTCCATGCGTGAAATTTCCAAGACGTCCAACACATTCCTGAAATGCGGCGGAAGCAGCACGTCGACAATTAATTTCACGATCAAAGACAGTCACAATTAATAAACCTGTAGCAATACTTTGGACGAATGGCTGTAAATCTTCAGGATTATAAGCTCTAGCAAAGGCCCAGCAAACATAACATGCTGAATCTCGAATGTTTTGACCAACAGACATGTATCCTTTCATCTCATCGTAAATTAAAGCTTTAATTAATAGAGGAACTAAATGTTCGAGACGATAAGGCAATAAAAGTCCACGTTTTGCTAATTCTGCAACTCCCAAGCAAGCACCTGAAAAGGGGAATTAGCAATGGATTAAAATAAATCCATAGGATTTAATGATTCAAACTTACCATGCCATGCTTCATGCTGCTCTAGAGGATTTAAAATCTCAATCACAGATCCAACAACGTCGTCACCTAGCGATTTGGGCAATCGATTTGTAATTCTACCGATTCCTTTAGCAGCAAGCCAACGAACATCACTACTAGGACTTTTTAAACCACCCAAAAGCTGCTCAATAATATCCTCGATTTCATCAGGCACTTCTACATCATCATCTGGATCTTCTTGAGTGATATTCACAGACTCAAATTCGACATTATTTTCAGATTTTGATGTTAAATTTTGCTGTAAGGAACGTGAGCCACGATTGTATCGCCAAAGTGCAATTTTAGGTGGCATGAAGATGAGTCCAAGACGCTGAACAATTTTGATGAAAAACTTATTTTTGAGGAAATCTGGAGAGTCCTTAAAATCTTGTTCGAGCAGCCATTTTAATATTTTTGGTGCATATTTGAGCAAATCTTCTCTCTTTCCATGTTTCAAGATTGCAGCTATAGCTAGTAAAGTTCCATAACGAATATGTAAATCATCAGCTTTAACTTCATTAAATGCCCAATCAAAGAATGTTGCCAAGTAAATTTCCTTAATTTCAGTACGGATTAAAAACTTTGCAGACAAATATGCAGCCACAGTCGAGCATGAGTCATTTCCTCTGCAATTAATCTTACAAATTTGATAGATTCTCTCCATTTTAGTCTTACTTGCATCACTTCCTTCTGCTGTTGCATCTAGACGTGCCATATGAAAAGGATTAAGGACCAAAATACTCATCCACAACAAGCAACAATACCGAGTTTCCCAATTATCTGACTCATCGATATTTTGACGTTCTAATAAATTTAAGACAAAATCTATATCACTTAATTCGTGAGGAAGGAACTTGACGAATACTTTAAAGGTTCTAACTTTAATTATTTGATATAGATATTTAAATCCAGCATGAATTAAGCCATCTGTTGACTTTTCATCTCGAATTATTGTAAGTAATGAATTAATCATGTCTGTAAGATGTCCATCTAATAGATGAGGCTGTTCTTGATATTTTGACATAATTTCCGAAAACTTTTCATAAGACTTTTCCATGTTTTTCTCGTAAATATGACTCAACTCTTTAATCATTTTCACAACTTCATCATATTCACTAAAATGTTCAAGTGTATTCGATGGAATATCATCATCCTTCAATTCCTCAAGCTGAACCATGTTGACTTAGTCTATTTAAATGTCTTTAACACTGTTAATTAATGTATTTTCAATTTAATTTTCCACAATATTTCACAAGCTCTGCAAGTTATTGTTTTGTGTATTTTTGTTACGTTACGTATACTTTTACGTAACACATACACAGTCGCAAATTTTACATTGAGCAATTTGAATATTTGAACGTTAAAAAAATAGAATTAAGTTTGTACTGGCTTGATGAAATTAATTTTATTAAAATTAAAGCAAAAACATTTAGAAAAATATGACAATATGAATCATTATGAATATATGTTGACACGTGAGTTGATTATTTATTTGCACAATTATTCGATTAAAGTCATTTGTGGCTTAAACACTGCCGAAGCAAACTTTAAAAGCTTAAGATTCTAAATATGAGTGGTAATCAATGCGATTTCTAAATTCTGTAGATTCAATGCTATTATTAAAAGGTTTATGAGCTGCGTTGTTCTCCAATAAGGGCATATAAAGCATATTTGTAAGCTCCTGATGTGTCACCCTTAATCATAGTTTTTAAAGATTCGCCAAATAATCTTTCGAAAGCTTCCTTAATTTCAGTCATGTCAATTTCGCATCGTGTAACAACTAAACGAACTAGCTGTCGATCATTAGTTCCAAGACCTTTCATTGATTTATGCAATTGGTAAGCAAAAAATTCAGCTTTGTTCGTCACGCATCTAAAAATAGCAACAAAACCATCTCTAATATCGCCTGTGGATTAAAGAAAAGCAGAAATGATGAAAATATAAGGATGTGCTTTAAAGTGAATTATTGGATTTACTATCTGTACCGGAAAATTCATTTTTGATGGCTTTTTCGAAGCTATGACCTGTCATTGTTTCATATTCTTTAAAGATTAATCTTAATTGCTCATAATTGCGTTGGCACAAAATAGAATTAAAGACACTCTCGTCTGTTCCTGCTCTCAATTCTCCAGCTCTTAATAATTCAGTGGCATCAGCTTTGGCTTTATCTGGATCGACAATTCCTGATTCATCACGATTGGCATTTAATAAGGACACAAGCAATCTCTTAAAGTTTCCTAGAAATTATTTGATTTCAATTTAATTAATTTTTGTATTTCAAGCTGTTATTTTAAAATTGAATTTTTTTCTGATTTATTACCTGATGTTTCGCCAATCAAGACATCCTCAAGATCCTTTTTGAACATTTCCTGATATCGTTCTTTAATGAGATTAATTTCATTATTCGAAAGAGTACACAAGACTTCAATCAAAACTTCTTCATCAGTTCCAACACCATAGCACGCGTCATAGATTTCCTTGCAATAAAAGTCAAGAGTTGGTGTCATTAATGCTACTAACAAGTCCTCAAAGTTCCCGCGAGTTTCACTCTTAAGATTTTCAACCAGATCTTTTCCATAGTGTGTCTTGAAATCTTTTGCTATTTCCTGCCTTTGCTGGTTGTTTCGACGACAAATTACTTCAATCAATGCATTGTCATCGCATCCAAAGCCCTTCATTGCCTTTCTTAATGACTCGGAATCTGCGCGAGCATCAAAATCTTCTTTTGGAAGGAGAGTTGGTGTTCCCTTCAAATATATAACAATGTTTTATACAACTATTAGTTTGGTGTATATGTAAGTGATTTCAGGAGTGTCTCATGTGGATTCGAAATTCATAATTTTACCAGCTTCATGAAGTCACTAATTGACCTTCTATAACAGAATGGCTGTATATAAGAGAATGGTGCATTTTGATTAATTTGTGGATATAAATTTTGAGGTAATCGATTATTTTGAGTATTTATTTGATTTTGTAAAGAAGAGATGCCATTTGACTGTGAATGATTTGAGGTAGATTGATATGAAGGATTAGAATTAAATGTGAATCCAATTGTATTAAAATGACCAGCTCCAAAAGGAACCTGGATCTTTTTATATGGATATCCAGGATTGCTTTCAACAAACATCGGTATTACTCCTAATGATGAACGGCTGCTTGAGATGCTTGCACGTCCTGTACCCTAGAAAATTACAAAATAAATCCAAATCGAATTTTTTAATTTCCGTTTAAGAATTTCAACATTTTTGAATCCAACATGAATCTTGTTAGTCAATTCTAGCAGAGACGTAGCCAGAAATTTCTCGAAGTATAATTTTGACCCTATCTGGCTACGCTCATGCCCTCAATTGAGCATTAGTAATCTGTTTATGTTATACTTACAAATGGAAACATCTTTTTTATTGTCTTCTGTTATAAATTTACGATGAGAATAGTCTGAAAATAAACAGAAACGTGAGAAACATGAATAACTCAGTTTGAAGACTCATTTCCAGTCTTGAGTGTTAATTGATATGCCACGTCACTAGTTTGAATAACACATTCATCCGCAAGTTCCATAAATGTATAGAAACTAATGAACTAGATCAAAAAATAATTTTTAAAAACAGGTTTAAGTTTGTTAATCCTTGGATTTATTTAATCCACAGATGAAATATCAAAGATCCAGAAGAACAGATGAAAGCAATAAAACCGAAATATCAGAAATACGTCATTAACAGAGCAAAGAATATGAAGAAATCGAAGGCAGAAAGCACGAACCAATAAGTGAGGCATGCTCAAAATTATAATGAAATGACATCATCGCAAGTTTTAAATAATATACAAGCTAATATAAACAGAATGATTCATGTTACAGACTCGATATACAGTTTATGACGCTTATTGTGTGCTGATTAAGTCAATTTGAGTTTATTGAGCAATGGAATTTACGTTAAAGAGCGTTAAAGAAGCAATTAAGTTACAGCATTTGCGCATTATATGATAAGGATGTCAAATAGAAGCATTTTAATGTTTTTCTCCTTATCATTAGGCTGTTAATTTACTTAAAATGTTTCAATTCACACTGTTTTATCAGTCTTTTAGGCGACACTAACAACAAAAAATTCCACTGCACAGCCTGAGTTATTGGCAAATGTCCAAATTGTGTGTGATTTTACAACTTTATGTTATATTCGATATCTTCATCAATTTGTCATTTTGCGTACGATTGACACGGTAATTGCACAAACTAATATAGACATACCTTATTAAATATTATAATAGCACTGGATGTGACGTATAGAACTACTAAAAAGTATCAAAAATACCGGTTTATAAAATTGAAAAATTGGAAGACGTCTGCTTCTATTGACTTTTTGAATGAGACTGAGCGAAAAATTTTACTGTGAGAATAAATATATACAGCATATTGACTTTATTTATAACCAAATGTTGACGCTCTTCTCTCAAATTTCATAACTCTCGTTAATGTATTACAGATTAAAACTGATGTAAATTTGCCTGTAAATTATCATTGAGACAATGAACTTGAACGACATAACAAGATGAATAACTGAATAATGCATTAACTTATGAGCACTCAATCATTCCAGTGATGATAAAATTGATGTTAATTGTTGTAAAAATTTAACGGTTTAAAATAATTTGAATCTTTAAACATTTGTATGGTTTTATATGTAAATGAATTTGTAAGGTTTTGAGACACAATTAAAATAGCAACGCTTAATATTACTTAAAAATCTCCAACTTTATTATTTTCGTTGACAATCATGATAAATACAAACACCGTTCCTAGAATCATGCACACAACCAATAAACCAGAGTTGCGAAACAGGCACCTGTGACAGGTGAGAACCCTACAATTCCTTGATAATTTATAAGGTTTTTCTAACAAAACCATACAAATTATCAAGGAATTGAACGGTTCTCACCTGTCACAGGTGGCCTGTTTCGCAACTCTGCAATAAACAATAACTTTCATTAGCAATAATTTTGAAGGTATATCACAGAGGATGGGGTTAAATGCTCACGACAAATTGGACAGTCACTCTTGTATTTTAGCCAATCACAAATGCAGTACCAGCAAAAGACATGTCCACAACTTGTTAAGCTTAAATCATTTCGACTCTCCAGACATAAAGTGCACTTCTTATTATCATCATTTGAGCTCACACGTGAGTATCTTGTATTGCTTTTTATATTTTCTCTTGTCGATTCCTCCTGACGCAATTTACTGTCAGTTCTTCTTTCTTTTAATTTCAATAGTAAAGAGAAAACGACTTGCAAAATTGTTACAATACCAAGGAACTTATATCCACTAATATTATGATGATCATTCAACCAGAAACGAACTAGTACGTAGTGTATTCCCGTTAGCTTTTTGGCAATCTGCAGTTGACCTGAATTGTTTAGATAGAAAAATCCCCTCGATAATGCCTTGACGTATGGAATGGATGACTTTATAAAGATGATTAATTGAAATAAAGTTCTGCGCGCCTCTGGAAGTAGCTCATCACTTTCGTTCACTTTCTTTTCGTATTCCTTTAATATGCTGATTAATAAAGTCTCTCCACCAAATTCCAAAACTATTGAAATGACTTGAAGAAGCTTATGTGGCAAGCTATCAGTTTTATTATCGATTTGCAGGACCCCGGTATATTCCTCGCCCAAGGTTTGAAGTCTATTTATAGCTGTAAATCCATGATAACACACATTTGTTAAGATTTTAATTATTTCATTGTGTTTTATGAAATTTCTGTTGTTTTTGACCAAAAACTGTGCCACTTCCACAACATCTTGATTTATTTCGGTTGTATACTGCAAGTCCTTCTGTATAGTTCTAATCACTTCTGGTTGTCGAGCTGTTTTAATGTAGTTTTTCTTCATAATTAATTTTTTAAGCTCAAACTGAATCTTTGTTATTATTATGAATGTAAATCGTATAATTTTGAGCACCTGTCATTTGAACTTTTGAATTTAGACATTTTTTTCTACGAGGGGATATCAACTATGATTTTTTAAATTTTATACGCTAAAACCGTTAAAACATAGGCAGCATGTCTCATGAAAAACAAGCAGCTCTGAAATGAAAATTAATTAAATAGAACAAGAAGCTAGTTTTGTTCAAATAGACACATTTATTTGATACATAATAACTGAATTTTGTTTTTTCGAATTAATCTAATATAATATTGCGAAGAAAATATTAACATTTTTAAAGAAAAAAAAAACTTAAAACATAGGAAAAAAATATATAAACCTTAATTAGATACATATATGCATATTAGGCAACTACTAAACCTAATTTTGATCAGTTTCGAAGGCAAAAAGGTACGAAAAAAATAATAGTAATAATTAACAACAATGTAAGAGTATTCAATTTGAATTATTATTAAAATTAGTGGCTATAATTTGTGATGCATCGAGCATAATCTTCGAATTGGATCGAACCAAGAAAATTAAATGGCATTCGTCGTAGATCGTTAATTCGATTTTTGTGCGCACAAGACCATGCAAAACTGTTGCTCTCGCCAAATCTAACCAACGTTGCAAGGTTAATTCGCGCTCACGCAATGGACCATTAATTGATACATCACTAGGTCCCCATAAAACGTATTCTAATACTGACTTGATTCTGTGAATGGAAATAAAAATTAATTAGCTATTGAAAGCACAATGATTTTGCATAAATCTCACTTTGTAAGAGTATCGGCACGTTCTTGAACAAGCAAATCTGATAAAAGTTGTGTTAGCTTTGTTTCCGGTAAAAGTTCTTTGATAACCTTCAAGGCACATTGGCATAAAGTTCCCATTACTTCGTCCTCGTCTCGTGATAAATCCGAGTTGGTACCTTGCAAAATGCACAGTCTAGCCTGTTGTTCCTTATTCTCCATTTCACGACACACAATAATATTCATGAGATTCATTGGCATCTCTTCAGTTCCTTTAGCTTGCATAGCTTTTAAGCCATTCACAAGTTGTAAAACAATAAATCCAACTTCGCGACAAAGCAAGTCATCGAGAAGACCACTTTTGCTTGGACTTTTTGTACCGTCAAGTGCTGATGTTGTTGTAGTCGGTGATTTTTCGTTCATTGAGATTGTATCGACATTTTCATCACTTCCAGTTAAATTACCGAAAAGACTGTTATTCTGTATTTTTGATTTCATGACTGAACCCATCATTTCCAATGTTTCAACTTGCATTTTCGGTAGAACTGTTATTGTAGCTGTAATTAAAATATCACATTGACTTCTGGGCAAAATAGTAAGAGCAATTAAAATCATTTACCTTGCACCATTTGAATTTTAGCTGTTGGCATTGATGGTAAATAATTATTTGGAACTAAATCACAAAACTCTGTAATTGGATTTAAAGCTCCCGATATTCCACCGCTCATTTGATTCAATTCACTGCCAGACACCATTTGATTAGCATCTGACGTGAGCACTAATGTTACATAAATGGAATTTTGCCAGACTGCTTGATGAAAGACACGCTTTCCAACAACCAAGCCAATAGAATCGAGAATAATGAAATCATCAAATCGTAAATTTAAACAATTCGCAATTGGACGCATTGATGAGGGAATTGATTGAGGTTGTTGAAGCTGAGAGATTAAGATTATAGGAAATTAATTACTTCCAGAATATTTATTTTCATTAATTACCTGATCTAAGACTTGAGCAAGAGCTTCATGATTTGCAATAATTACGGCCGAATAATTATCCTCTAAATTTGTGTGCACAACACTTCGACCTTTTCTTAATCTTAATCGGTTTACGATCTTATTGCGTGACGATCCCTATTTAAGAATAAAGAATTAGATAAATCAGCCACAAAAAGATTTAAAAATGGGTTCATCTGTATTAAACTAGCGGTGAAATATAAATTATTATTTTAATTTACCTGACATCCGTCAGTTAAATCACTTTGTGAAACATCCAAACATGCTGCATCACTTCCACAAAAACTGTATGGCGAATAGATCTCCGATTCCCCTATTTCACTGCCACAATAAGAACGTGTTGCATTACCTGTTTGGAATTAAAAAACATCACATTTTAACAATCAAGATCCATTTATAAAGTTTTATTGAGGCAATAAATAGCTTTATTCTGCGTATTTTCTCAAGGAACGATAAAATATATATTTTTTGATGGATCACTTCCTTTCCTATTTTCAGTCTAGTAAAAAAAAACTGACGAAAATTATTTGAATTTTTATTTTGACAAACTTGAAATTTTTGAAATATTTTGAACCGTTATTTTTTAAATTTATTTTGACAGTTTGAAATTCCTAGAAAAATGTGCATTTTACAAAGTAAAACACTAATAATATAATAATGACTACCCATGACTTACCAAAAGTAAGCGTTGGCGAGCACATTCCATTGTCAGGATAGCTAGAACGATGATAATTTAATTTGGCACTAACATTAACATTAATCGGTTCATAATTTGATGCATTATTCCTCAATCCCATATTACGATTGTTGTTATAATTTATTAAAGGCAATGGAGATGACACATTCGCTATAATTTGCTGCTGTGGAGGTGTTGGCGAGCGACTATTATCCAATAAATTTGAGTCTGATGAGCTTAGCTTCTTATTTTTCAAGTAGCTATCAATTGTCATATTCATTTTTTGAACAGACGACTTCAATCCATCACTATTAACAAAGAAAGTTGTCTGCTGCTTAGTGACATTCGGCGATGATGATTTATTTATGTTAATGCTCGGTTTCGTATCATTTTTCAGTGCATTATTCTCAAACAATTCAATCTTGCTGCGAGTTGAAACATTTTCAATTTCAGGTAATTTCTTTTTGCAGTCACCATTAACAATAGTTGTGGATGATGGCTTTAAGACGGGCTTTGCAATTATTGAATCTTCATTTTTATACGTCTCTGTGTGATCATCATCACTCTTATTGTTAACACCTTTCAAGTCATCCATTTCAGCATTTCCATTAATACCAGGCTGCTTTCGTTGTAATTCCAATGTTTTTGCTTCACGTTCTCTCATGCTGTTTGTTCGTTCTGGCTTTCTTGGTGCAATCGAATTCCTAATCTCACCTAAATTAGCATAAACTGTATCGTTCGAAGATATTTTCGTTGTCTTTTGTGGCTCGACATTTTCAGATTCTAATTTTATTCGTAGCTCATTATTTTTTGGCGGAGGTGGACGTGTTGGTTTATTCATCTCTAATTTAGTAGAATCACTGCGATTTGGTGGCATTGGTGGCTTTTTATGGCTCGATACTGATTGATTTTTTTCAGATAACGCAATTGTCGGTGTGCTGGGCTGTGATGAACTTGTTGGTGTGCTTACAACTTCAACGCCACAATTATTGATGTCCAAAGGATGAATAATAATTAAACGAGGCTTAACTTGTGGTGCATTAAATGCATCATCACTTGGACTTGTTGGAATATCTGCATAATGACTGTAATCTTTTTTCGGTGTATGTTCAGTCTTACTATTTCCCATTCTTAAAAATTTTTTGATTGAAAATTTCTTCTTCTTTCCTTTTTCAAGATCAGCTAATGAATCTGATGAAAATGATAAGCTATGACGTGGTGCTGGTTCTGGTGATGTTGGACTTTGAAGCTTTTCAAATTTATCCAATTTCTCTTGTGCTTCATGTGCCTTATTAAGATGATTAAGACTCCGGAATTTCGGATTAATTGCAGGATAGTTACGTGGCTCTTTAATTTGCACAGTATTCGTCTTTATAGAGAATTTCGATTTTGAATGTGAAAACTCTTTAAAGCATTTCAAAGGCTCTTCATCTGCGAAAGATTCCTCTTTAAAAGTCTTCATCATTTCGCTTTCATTATTTAGAGGCGGCTCTGGAGCTCGTGATTTTTTCGTTGCTTTTGTGTCTAATGAATCGTTTGACAGTGATCGTTCCTTGCTAATTATCACCTGTGTGGATTTACATGAAAAGTATTAATTTTAAGTTACGTTTAGAGTATGAATAACGGTTTTTAAGAATTTAAAATAAATAACGGTTTTCAAAAATTTAAAATTTTGTGGATAATAAAATTCAAATTTTTGAAAGCTGTTGCAAATTCAAAATTATTTTAGCCGTTAATAGATTGGGTTAGAATACGTAAGTGAATCACATAAAAGTTATTAACAAAAGGATGTTAATTACCTGTTGAAGTTGCATGATGATTTCAGCATTACGTTTCTGAAAGGGCTTGACAACATTCACACTTACGGGTTTTATCGGCACTTTTGGCTTATTAGCAGTCGAGTGCAAAAATGATGTTCTTGGATCAATCGATTGCTGTGAATTTTTTAATGATCCTGGTGCTGGAGATGTTTCAGAACTTCCATCTGGATCACTTCTACCGTCAGGTAATTCTCGATTGTTTGCCAGTGCCTTATTAATCTCATTTGTTACTTGAATGTCTTCATAGTCGGAACTATTATTGCTGTTATTAATGTCTTTAGATAATTGCGATGTTCCTTTAATTCCAATGCCACTGTCCGATTCACTGCGTCCATTTGACAATTCTTCGTCACTAGAACTGTCAAAACTTGAGCCAGTCGAATCAAGTGCGTCTTCTAAGTGATTTTTTGTCACAATTAAGCCATCACAAGTTAATTTACTGGATACAAATGAACTTTCCATCAAATCGTATGATTCAGCGCATTTTTTAATTGACTCACTGTGCGAGTTCTGCGATGATACAAACATATCCGAAATCACTTGGTTGGTGAAAAAGCTCGACTTATTATTATTAACAAAATTATCAGTTGATGTCTGTTCCATTTCAGTCTTATTTTGTGTAATACTAACATCAATTGTTTCATTCTTCGTTGAACTACCATCACCAATATTTTCATAACTGTTTCTAGCCTCAACAACATCATAATAATCGGATGTTGTACCAAACTCTAAATCACTCTCAGACTCTGAATTCTTTGAATTCGTGCAGACTTGAATTTTTGGTTTCTCCTTATCTTTCAATATTGCATTATTTCGCATGATTGCGCGTTTACTATTCAACAGATTGTTCGCAGAACATGTTATATTTGTGATTGAATCAGAAGACGAGATGACGGCAGATGTAATACTATCGTGATTTTTAATCTCGACCTACATTTTAGTATGAATTATACACAATTAAATATCAATAAAATGTTATTATTGCTATGCTTTAAAGTATTTACCTTAATAACGTCATTCTTCGTTGTTTCTTCGACAACCTTTGATTGAGCCGCATTTGCTTCATTCACAAGAATTTTCTTACTTAATAATGTCTCATTGATCTCTTCAAGCAGCGATTTTTCATTACCAGATGCAAGTTTAACGTCAAAATCTGTTGGCGACTTATCAACTTCATCGTTGTTTAAAGTTTCGGAAGCAATTACTTTATGCTTTGTTGTGGAGAAGCTATCGTCTGAAGTATGTGTTATTGACTTTAGTATTATTCCATTATTTTTTGACTTATCACTTTTCTTATCGCTTGAATGTGAAGAATCATTTGAAGGTAATTTAGACTTAATGTCCAATTTTAAACTAGACATTGATGTTGAGGATGAATTGCCACTGAATGGCGTAACTGAGATTTTTAAAGTTTGTTTCTTGCCCGTAGCATCTTTCTGCGGTGCTCCAAGTTTTAGAGCAGCAAAAGATCGCTTGATATTCACGGTCGGATCACCAAGTAAATTTCCATTGTTCATATTAAATTCCGTATTTGTTTTTGTTAACTTTTGCAGCTCCTCGTCATCGTCATACACCAATTCCTCGCCACTTTTGTCTGGAAAATCATCACCATCATCATCACTATTACCTCCATCTAGCCATTCACCTCCTTCCCCTATGACCTAATGTAATTGTTGCCAATATAAATTTACGGATTATTAATCTTCATTCATGGTCGCATATTAATAAGCTAAACTCTAACTTACCTTACTAACTTCTGACGGAAAATTGACAGACTTCTTCTTATGCTTCTTGCTTGATGGCAGTATTGTCTTTATTATGCCTTTTGATGGAGCATTTAACACTCTTTTTGGTGTTGTTGGAATTGACTTAATTGTTTGCAAAATTGCTGCATGTTCCTCTTTTGATTTAAAACAATTTGAACATAAATCTTTCTTCCATGCATTCTGAATAAACCTTGGACATTGCGTTACAGCTATAGACGACATGATTTGTAAGCAATGTGATGAATTTACTCAATTTGTAATATTTTATATTAAAATATTAGTCTCAACTATGTATAATCACATTAATCCATAACCCGATAGAAGTAAATTGAAATGTCAAATGCTATAATGGAATAAAAGAGAGAAATAGAAATAAGGAAATTACTTTTGGATCTTTTAATGAACCGTCGAAAATTGAATTTAATTGGTTATAAGAAAAAGAGCAGCCTTCGATGTTGATTTTCACTTAACTCGTTTTGAACACGTAACAGCAGTAAGTACCGTACCTTTTTAGATTGTTTTGATGACAAATTTACAGATAATTTAAATAAATTAAGTATTTTGATAACTTTTGAATTTTTTTCAATAAATATGTTTGTGTTTGTAAATACCGTAAATACACTAAACTGACCGTTAAGTTTTTAAAAAAAAAAACACTAACACTAACATGGATCGAGTATAATTTAAATTTTGGAAACCCGTTAAATTTTAAATAAATTCAATCACATGTCTTGATCAATCAAAATTGATTCTAGTGCCAATACGGATTTAAAATCCATCGAAGCAAATGCCGCAATAATGAAATCAGTCGAAATGATATCATGGTTTACTTTCGATAGTATAAACACAATTCAAAAGGCATGCACGGAGCAGTTAATCATTCAGTTAAAGTGTTAAATGAATCTAATTGTTCTACTTTATTTCTGGTGATCGCCACTCACTTTTAATTTTAACTTTTTTCATTTTTATTTTCTTTTCCCATCCGCGTTAAAAAAATGCTCTTAAAATCTGCATGAAATCTTCTTTCTAAACGAAGCAGAACGTTGTGTACACATACATCAAATAAGATATATTCTCTCCATTTATACATCCATTTCTTCACTTTTACGATGATTATGTAAACTTTCATCTTCATTCAGTAATTTTTTTAAGGTATGTAGAAGTTATACTCAAAAACTGGCCTCAATATATTTCGTAATAATTTTCGGCACGATTCTATTCAATCTGCTCGTTCCTTACAATTATATATACATTATTTTGATAGTCTATTACCAACGGTTTATTTTCATTTCCAACAAGTTCTCTTCAACAATCTTAATTTTTTTTCGTCTGTGGTAATAAAAATGTATTAAACATGCTCATTTACAGTGACTGAAATATTCATTAAATGTCTTTAAATTTTTTTGTTGAAAAGTACTTGTTTTTGGGATGTTTTGACTGACGATAGAGTAAGAGATCTTGATCTAGATTTAAAGAATATTTGGCCATAGAATCTATAAATACTCTACTGTACCCTCAGTCGCAAGAGCCCTTTGCAAAGCATCAAAAAATGCGCCAAAACCATCCTATACTCAATATTTTCCTTAATTCCAGAAGAAATTCAACTTAAACTTAATTCACACTAAGCTTTAGAAATATCCAACTGTTGCAATAACACAAATGATCATGTCTAAAAATGAATAAATAATAATAAAAAGTGTAAAGAATAGATGAAAACGAGAGAAGTGTGTCACAATCGTCTTCAAGATTTTTATCGCTTTTTTTGCTCATTTTCTTTATTCTTCATCTAATTCAGTGATTGTGCCTTTTCACAGTCAAATATGAATAGTGAAAAGCAAAAATTACTTAAAGTGTCATGAAAATGAATAAAGAATGGGAAAAAATTGAAGAATGTCATTAAAAGTATGAATTTCTAATTTCATGCTATTAATTACAAATTATTGCCGAGAGAGATGAAAGTGATTAAACATATTTTTTGCCTTCATGATAGCATGAAATATTTCACTTTACCATAATTATCATGCAATTATACTCTTTAAATTTATTTACTTTCCGGAGCAATTTTAATGCACCAGCGAACCTTTTTTTTACAGTCTTGTCTTCATTTCTTCATAATTGCATTGCATTGCATGCTTTTCTTCATTCTACATTTGCCATGAAATGATATATGCTGGACTCAGGGCTGTTATCTTTGATATGACTGGAATCATTTAAATAAATTCATTCATTTTAGTTTAGTGCCTTATACTACAAGGAATTGTATGCAGAGAAAATTTTTGACCAGACGCAGCTACCAACTTACAAAAATAAGTTCAACAACTCTGTATTCTGGTCACTATATCAATTATGGAAGGGAAACAATACAATACTGACTCAATAATTCACCTTCTCAAACAATTGAATGGAATTTTTTCATAATAAACATACACAGAAAGTCAGGAAACTGCGAAATTGATTGATATGTTTGATGCATCTCTCGACTAATTTGAATATGTTTGTTGCATCACATGCTTCACATGTCGAGGAGCACTTAAGGGGCCGTTCACTTATTACGTTCGCATTTTGGGGGGAGGGGGGGTTTGAAAATTTGTAACAAAATGTAACATAAGGGGGGGGGGGGGTGTCAAGAAGTATGTAACGTTCCAACTGTCGTCTGTCTTTTAAAAAAAGTTCACGAAAATTCAAACCGAAAACATTTTTTTAAATTTTCCACCTTTTTAATGATAAAATAAATTATGAACGTTCAGGGGGGGGGGGGGGGGGTTGTGAGTTGTAACATATTGTAACAAGGGGGGAGGGGGGGTGAAAAAAGTCGTTTTTTTGCGTAACGTAATAAGTGAACGACCCCTAATGGAATTCACACTTTTTCCATGAGCTTAGTCAATATAATTTATGCTCTGATTCGTATAAACCCCTTCGCATAGACAGAGTTTTAATGCCGAAAAAAAGAGCATAAAATTAAAATATTATAAACAATGCAGTGATGCTAAATGGCTGTTACTTAATAGGCAAGGTGTTTTTGTTAATAAATAGCATATTAAGCTAGTGATAAAACAAGAAATAACAATGCAAGTTTCAGAAATTTCTTTGATAGGCTTATGACTGATTTATAGCATCATTATATTATAATTCATGCCTATTATGTCTATTATTGTACATACTTGATATGTCTTTTATGTTTTGAAAATATGATAAGTCTCACAAAGCGTTTATCTACACAACTTAAAAAGCCATTGAGACGAGAGAGGAAGCGAAATATCAATTCATAGCATTAAAAAAATTTATAGCTTCAATTGGAATTGAAAAAATTCCACACGTCGTAAAATTGTAGGCTGTGGAAAAATATTTTTAATGCATTTTAAGGAAAATTATTGCAGTTTTTTTACGTTCATAATCTGCCTGCTGAATGTGGCAATAACCCTTTAATGGATTTTATCTTGTTTAAGCCAATTTGTAGGGGATTTAATGGTTTTTTAAATGATGACAATTTGATAATTGATTGGAAGTATGTTAATTGACCTGTTTTGATCTAGGGGTGGCGAACAGAGCTATTACTGTTAAATTCGGAAAAATTTGAATATATTTTTAAAATTCACTAACACAAACATAAAATATTCGAATGTAAACATTGAAAATGTTTCATTTAAATTTGACTTAATTTCAACTAATTTTGTGTACAGGACATGATAAGTTGCTTAATGCAGCTTTAGTAATGATTAATAGATGCTTTAAACAAGCTTTAAAGTATGATTTAATGGATATATTGCAAAAAAATTCAAAAGTACAATTTTGTTTGTGTTAGTGTACCTTATGTTTCGAAATTCAAAATTTAAAAATTAACGGTAAAATAAAGTACCTTTCGAAATTCGTAATCGAAAAATAAGGACCGTTCGCCACCCCTTTTGACGTCTGGATGTGGTTTAACTGATGAAAAATTCAGCATGAATTCTAATCAAGAGATACAGCTAGTTTTTACTATTTAAAATTGGTAGAAATTATAAATTTCATGCAATTTCTTATACAAATTTATCTCTTGCCACGAGATTCATCTCAACTGATCTCAACTACCTGCTAGGCTTAATCTAAAAATAGCTTTAAACTAAAACTCCTGTTATTCCTACAGTTCCACGATTAGTCATGGAAGCGTCAAATAATGATCATTCTTCGTTAATCAATTCACTGCTCACAACGAACCTAAACTCAAATCATCTACCTGCAGTGACTTATTTACTTGTTTCTCATTACTAAATTGATAGTTTAATGAAAACATTTCTTTAATGAATTTTAATAACTATTGAATTTTTTGAAGAAAAAAAAGCACATCAATTCCTGCTGCTGCTCATAATGTTGTGCATTTATGTGTGAGCTCGCTCGCAGTTTAATTTATGAATTTATATTTTTTGGATATTAATGAATGTAATAAAAATGAAAATAATGCGGCGCTTTGAAGATGTTTGACCAGCATGCATGTCTAATACATTTATCACATTGAATGTAATTTAAACAATAAATAAAGCTGAGAAGAAAGAATAAGAAAGAAGTAGAAATTGTGAAAGTATTCATTGTTTTCTCATAAATTTTGTTTTAAAGCATCCATGCAGGTACAACTCAACGGGTATATAAGTGTGTATGGTGCTAATTAGATGTGGATGTAAAGATGGAAATTCTTTATAGGTATATTATTCCTGATTGTCGTGTTAAGTGTGTGTCTTTATTTATACACATTGATTTGAGCATGCAAGCACGTAAGTTGGACACTGCTCCATTTTCATTTGAATTATATAGTATGAGATGTATTATCAAAAAGTATCACGAATCGGAGTCAAGTAGACAGAACAGAAAAAATGAATAAATAATAATGGAAATTGTCCAATACCTCAATACCTCTATCAGCTTATTGGGGTCGATGCAAATTGTGTAATTGAAAATTTCAATCATGAAAGAGATTTCGACGAAAATGAAGGAATGGTGACACACCGAACCATACACATTATATTGCAGACTAAATGGACACACAGTGTAGGTAGTCTGATGATTCTTATGAATTACAATAATAATGGAGACAAATGATTACGAGTTGAAAATGAAGAAGGAAAGGAAATTTAAATTTTAAATTTGATGATTGTTGGCATTTTTCTGAAAGTTGCTGCTACTACCGAAGACAAGGCAAGACAATAATGCAATGTACTTTTAATACATACAATTAAGAGTTAACAATCTATCAAAAAACCTTTCGATTTCTTGCAATTTATGGAAATGGAAAAATGTTGTATATTTCCATTTGATGGAGAAAATGATCAGCTTAAAATTTATTCGAAAATGGTCACGTTAAGACTCAATCAC